ACACAACAAATAAACACAAACTAAACATATTTACACAAAAGTCAGGTTTATTCAATGATATTAACAATAAAGAGTCGATAAGTGCAACAAAAAGTATATACAAAAATAGCTACAGTTTGTAATTATCAATATGTAATGATGCAAACTTAATATATAACAAGCATAAAATATTACCAAACATGTAATATAATTTCATGAATAATAATGAATACGATGTAAGAGCAAGCTAGTTAAGTTTCTTCTATAGCGTCACAATTACGTAATACAACACAATGAAACTCTCGATGCCGCACACACATGTGCCTAGCATAGCGAAAATAACATGTCACTATTCAATCTAAAATGCAAATGTTGTCATAAAATGTGACTCAACTACAACAAGAACCATACATACAATTAACATGCTTACATTCAACTAATGCACGAATATAAGAAATAATAATGGAAACACATGCTTGTACACACAAGAGAAAACTTATACAAATGTGAAAGAATTAATACATGAAGTCATTATAAGCATATATATTAAACACACACAATGTTTATGAATCAAAAATTTTGAAAATGAACATTCATTGTTTTTATCATTTGAGAACATAGTAAGCGTTTTTCATTAACTAAAAAATATACTAAAAAGTCTTACTTTCAAGGAGAAATTTGAAATAATATTACCTCACTCTTGATGGAATGAAAGTTTCACTCACATGATGTAAAATACTCAATAAACTGTTAGAGAAAAAGTATAAAAGTGCAAGAATCATAATAAAGAAAACAACATTGAAGACATTAATAATCCCCAATTCCTCATGTTTGTTGAAAAACGGCTTAGTTGCAAACGTTATGTGAAAAACGCCGACAAGTTAATTTTCACTATCAAAAGGCTCAAACACAACATCCCTTTTTTCAACATGATCGTGAAGGTAATTCTCCACGCATGTGTTTCTTCCTTGAGTTACATTATTTGGAGTCTGAGAAAGTAATTCAACCCTCCATAAGACTTATTTCAAACACTCCCTGCATAAACTTAGAAAACTCTTTGACAAGTTGCATGTTAGTAGAATCAAATATGATATAATTTCAAATGTGTTATGTTTGATGTTTAATGAAGTTAAACATGCTTGTGTACACATAAGTATTTATAAAATAAAATACATGAAAATATAGTATGATGAGATCATTACAAGTAAATAAACTGATATTACACCATGATTATCAATTAAGAGTTATTTTGCAAATGAATACTCATAATATCTCTCTCTCTCTCTCTCTCTCTCTATATATATATATATATATATATATATATATATATATATATATATATATATATATATATATATATATATATATATATATATATATATATATATATATATATATATATATATATATATATATATATATATATCATACACCAAGTGTTATGGACCGAGCCTACGCTTGCCCCACCGTCGAGCAAGCCCAATCCAGCGCCTTTATTATGGCCCAATAACATATGGCTCAAGTCTCTAACCGCTGGGGAGTTCCCCACGTGTCCACCAAGGAGACGTGACCAACAATTATTCGAAGTTACCATTATCCTGTCCACCGAGAATAACAGGTCTATAACTTCCCTACTATCTCGGAGTAATTGACCAGGGAGGAGGCCACGTGCTAGTTTCCACTACTCACATAACTGTGACACTCTTTGTTATTGGGCCTAACCATCCGGCCCAATACATAGATCTTGGACCAACGTTGGGGGGCTATAAATACCTTATCATACGAGTAGGTCAGGTACATTGATTACTACTTACTTTAACTCTCTACTTGCATTTTTGTTCAGATTCTTACTTTAGCATCAGAGCATCTTGTAGGTACCCCCACTTCACTTTCAACCACCATTTAATCCAAGCTTATGGGCCATCGACGATTCCTTCTGATTAGGTACGATCTCCAAGTATTTCATGTAATTAGAAAAATAAACAAGTAAAAGAGAGAACTTACTAACAAAGCGAAAGTTAAATCGATACTACCTCACCGTACAATATGGCGGAGGTTGCACTTGGATTTAACAAGGAACCCTCGAAAGAAAGTTGAACCAAATGTAAAATATGCCCACAAAGATTTTAGAACCACAAGATCGTATCATTTTTCACTTTAACAAAGTACCCAAAAGTATAACTTGTGATTACCAAGGAGGTCATTGATTTGATAATCATTCATTTTGATTGAACTCTCATATTTATCCTTTTCATGTTAGTTATCTTTCTCCTCCTCCTCATCATATTTCAATGGTTCAGGTTGATCAATTCCTTCTTCGGTGTCATTGAATATGTCTCTTAAAAATACACCTACATCATGAAATGAAATACCTTTTTCGAGTATTCTCGAATACAACATAAAAAGTAACTTACGCCTCTTTTACCAGTTAAACAAAACTTGTCGTTTCTTTCTAGATCACATAATCCATCTTCTTGCCCCATATACAATAGGATTAGAGTATGTTCATATGCCTTGAGCCATCATAAATGAGAACACGTATTCTCTTCATAGAGTCAAGATGATATTCCTACAAAAACAACAAGACAAGCTAGATATCCAATCTTCATTAAGTCCTTGGGGGTTAAAGAAAAATTGGTTGCATTTGGGAAAGTCTTTCATACAACCATAGTGACAATTTAAATCTTCACCATCACTAAAAACACTATCGTATAAGTGCTCATATTTTAAGGGCCTGAAACTTGATGCCCTAAGAGCTTTAGACTTTGTTCTTTCCTCCTTATCCGTGTCTTTCTTCTTTTTCTTCTTTTTCTCAAGTTTTTTCTCATGCTTGTCTAAGCAAGTAAGTTCTTTCTCATGTTCTTCAAACTTACCAAACAATGTAGTGAAATTAAGTGTTGTAAGATCATTAGCTTCTTTGATTGCGGTGACCTTCGGTTATCAATTCCTAGTAAGACATCTCACAACTTTGTTAGTAGCAATTGCGTTAAAAATAAGATTACCAAGTTCATTCAAACGTTTAATGAGATTTAATGTATTTTTCTTATCATCATTATTTCATATTGCTTCTGGCTTAGATGTGACAACGCCATTAACATTGTTTTAAGTAATAGAGTCACACATATCCTTGTCATATAAATTAACATGAATGTGCATACAAGCCTTCCAATAACTATAATTTTATTTCGGGAAAAAGATGAGGTTATTTTGTAATCCCCTTTAGGTTCGTACGCCATTTTCTAATAAGAGTTTCGAAGTACGAAACTATTTGGAGCTCTGATACCACTTGTTAGACTACAACGACTTATCTAGAAGATGGTGAATAGATCCCAAATTAAAATTACCTTTCAAAATAGTACTTACAAACTTATTTAAAAAACAATATTGAACAGAAGGTTTTTGGCCTAGATCAAAATACTAGTCTAAAACATCACTTTAATTCACTACTACAAATAAAAGAAGGTAAAACTCCAATCACAAAAATAAATGCCCCACAAAAAATGCACAATCATGGATGAAACCTCACTAAGTTATGTCTCTTGAATAACAATAAAGTCCAAAGACTTAGATAAAACTAATTTCTGGTGAGGAATCATCTTAGGTATACCATTAGTTAAAGGTAAAGGATGGATGGGTTGCAAAGATACCAAATGATTAAGAAGAGGTCTAAGTGGAGAGAAATCATCCCTATTGTTAAATAGCAAAAGAATATGTCGAAGAACATGATGGAAAAAAAGCTTCTTTAGAGGGTGAGGAAAAACGAATATTATTAAAACAAGCATCCCAAAAGATTGAACGTCCTTTGCCTAAAGAATTTTTTTTATTTAATATTTTTTTATTAGTCTCATAGGTTAATCTTGTAGTTTATTTGGGTCTTTAAACTTAAAAAAAATATCATATTGGTATCTTAACTGTTTAAATCGGACCACATTAATTCAAATCGGACCACATTAATTCTTTTTATTAATTAGTGAAGAATTTATCGATCGGTTTTTTAATTTTTTTATTTACAATTTAATATAATACATTTTAAAGATTTGAAAGACTAATATACTTTTTAAATTAAAGATCAAAATAAACTCCAAAATTGACAACAACAAAAAAATACCACTATAGTTCACGACATCCATTTTTACCGTTTTCAATGTAATTTGATGAAATGTTTAATGGTTGAACCATCTAAAGAATATAAGCTACATAGAAAACTTTGTCAACACAATTTTTCAAGAAAATAAAGGGTATAAATTAGAGGTAGCCACCTGATTTTCCTTCAATATACAATAACCTTAAATTTATTATTATTTTATTCCATTAAACCAATTCAATTGACAAATATGTAAAAATATCAGACTGCAAGTATTATTAAACTACTAGACAAAAATAGTAATAGTAAAATATATTATTAATTTTATTTTAACAAATTTTTGTGTGGCTATTGGCCTAACAACCAAACCATTAAACTGGAACATCAATGACACAATTTTATTTAAACCTATTTAATTAATCACATTGATAGAAGTTTAATACCTTGAGCAATACTCAACTCCATTGCTAGAATAATATTATTCTTTTTGAGTCAATTAAATAGTACAAAATTTTCCTTTTCACGACTACATAAGTTATTACAATATTACGTAATATAATTAATCAAAATCTTGCTATATAAGGAATTTTAAAGTCAAACCTAAAGGCTCAATGGTAGTTCAATACCGTTTAACCACTGCCCAACTAATTACACAACACTATTTTTTTAAACATTTTTTAACATATGCATACAATTAAATTATATCATCATCTTACTTTATGAGATTAAATTTGTTGTGTTGTGTATTATTTTTACAATAACAATCTATACAAATTAAATTAATTTTTTTATTAGTTCATTTTAAGATTTATGATTTTATTCAATTTATTATATTTGGGAGTTAGACTTAGGTCATCCAATAAATATCAAACTTCAAGTATATAAATTGGACACTTGATGTACCTATAACCAAGTTTGATCTCTTTTCATTCTCATCATGGAAAAGTTTCTTCTTCTTTCTCTTCTGTTTTCCATGGCAATTATCACATGTTCAGCCACTACCTATACCGTTGGAGATAGCTCTGGCTGGGACATTAGCAGCGATCTAGAAACTTGGGTTGCTAATAAGAACTTTAAGATAGGCGACGCTCTTCGTAAGTAACTTAATCTTTTATTCAATGCGTTAATAGAGAAACTTTTATAAATTTATTTCTTTGATTTTTTTCAGTTTTTCAATATTCATCGACATATAGCGTGGATGAAGTTACGAAAGGCAACTTTGAGACATGCAACACAACGAAAGTGTTGGCGAATTATGGAAATGGAAACACGACCGTGCCATTGACAAGAGGCGGAGATAGATATTTTGTATGTGGAAACAAATTGTTTTGCCTTGGTGGAATGAAACTTCATGTTCATGTAGATGATGATGATGGAAGATCGATTTCACCGGCTTTGGCACCTAAAGCAGTTGCTGGAACAGATGAAAGGACTAGTTCACTTCCAGAGTCTCCTTCGGCACCGTTTTCAAATGGAGTTGCCAATGGTGCGGATATAGTTTATATTGCTATTGCGGCCATTTTTTATGGGATGCTGCAGATTTGAGAATCTGAGAATGGTTACAGAAACAGTTATAAGTTCATGTTTTGAGTGTGAGTATATTAGTTTGTGATGTTAATTAAGAAGAAGATGAATGGTAGTTTTGATTGGTTTGTAAAACTCATGAAACATACATTGTACATGTTTTGTTGAAGGATAAAATGACATGCACATTCATATTGTTTGTGTGTAAACTACTTTGCCATATTTGTTCCTCGTGACAATAGTTTGCTACAAATTTTAATGCACATGCCTATATAATCTTCTTTGAGGTAGAGGTGATTTTACATTTGTTAGAAACATGTAGATATTGAGAAATCCTTAGACAACTTGTAAAGGTGCTTTACACATGTTTTGGTTTGCCAAATTACAGGAATAGTTACACTATTTTATTCAAGTAGGTTTTTTTTAATAATAAAAAAAAAGTTGAACACTCCAGTACCTTTGAATTTAATTGGATACCGATATCTTTGGTCAATCAAATTTTGTTATTTAATGACACATCACTTTTTATAATTATTTTATTTAAAATAAATCTAAATTTTAAACCAATTTACACTAAAGGTATCGGTACCTAATTATTTATCATGGGCACTTAAGAATTTATCATAAAATAAATATATAAATAGCATGGAATTAAAAATTAATGGATCTAACCAAGAGTCAACCATTTAGATAGTGCAAGTATCATACTAAAAAAAGTAAAAAACAAATCAAAGAACAAAAGAAAAATAAATAGGCAATAAATTGTACACTAACAAACTAAAAATCCAGAAACACCGCTAAAGAAAAATGATTAATATCAGAGGAAAAACCACACAACTAAACTCCACTCAATAAGGGATTCAGGTTAGAATTTAGACCACCATCAATAGAGTATGTACCTCAGAACACGATCAAAATCACAAAATAATATATGAACTATCAAAATTGTTGACCTATTATTGGTTAAGACACTAAATAGGGTCTGTGAAATCAACCAGAGAAAAAATCACAAGTTTTCACCTGATTTACCAAGAAATCAATTTCAAGAAGAAAAAAAAAGATATTTTCCTCCCCTTCTTTCACGTTTGTTGTAACATAAGAAAAAAACTTATCACTGTGCACAGTCCGAACAACTGCATGCGAAATCATATCAAATCCTCCTATAATCATAACTCTATCTCCTAAAGAGAAAAACACCTCGAAAAGAATCATATGATCCCTTGGGAGAGCAACCAACCACTAAACCACTTAAAAATCCTATACCACTGTTTACCTTGGGATTTGGTAAACAACCGCTGATCCTCCAAATGGTTACTTATTTGGTTACTCGCAGGATCGATCAGATTGATCCTAGGACATAGGTTGATTTTGAAGTTTTGATTAAATTGGATAAGACTTTAAATAAAGAGGCTTTAAATAACGTAAAGAGGCTTTAAATGAAATTGCATGAAGAAAGGACTTGGTAAAATAAACAAGGCTTAAAGTAAAAGGCTTCGACAGGAATGTAAAGAGGAAAGCAAGTAAATTTCTGGAAAAGTAAATGACTTTGATTAATAAAGTTGGTGTTTCACACATACATTTCTCAACAATTCTTTCTCACACGCTGGGTACTCGAATCTATATGAGTGACTTTGTATAGAATTGTGAACACACGCGAGAACTTACATGACTACTACTATTTATACTAAAACATCCCAAGTAACCGTCGGGCAGTTACACTGCTTCGAGATCATTCCACTTGGCACGTTCTCAACGTTCGACGCTCCAGATCTTTGCACGTCACACTTGGTAACCGCTGGAAACCGTTTTCCCTCCAAACGCTTGAATTTCAAACTGCTCCACTCTGGACCATCGAACAACTTCGTCGAGAAACATCTTCGACGAGAAACTCCTTCGACGTCGAAGGCAACCAACTTCCCCCTTAGAAGAAATCTTTTAAGTACCTTGCCATCTTTCGACGGGCATTTCGACAAACCTAGCTAGTCGAAAACATCTTTCAGCTTTAATGGCTGACATTAATAAAACAAAGGTGTCGAATTTAAGAGCCAACAAATTGCCCCCCAAGAATGCCTTATTTCGACTCTGAAAGAAAAAGGCATTCTTTGAAACGCCATTCGACACCTGTCTTTTCACGCTTAGTCACAAATTAAATTGTGCACTTTTTGTTGTTTTCTACCAACCACTGGCAATCCCAAGAAAACCATCATTTTTCCGTACCTAAGACGTCACCTCAGTACGGCGTGCAGTACCAAACGTCATTTCAGAATTTTGTCATTATGACAATTCCAAAAAACGAGGACGCACGCTGCGTCTCTCTATTTCTGCAGAACGGCTAAAACAACAGGGGGATGCCACGCGTCCCACTATCTCCTGCAACATTAAATGGCATTTAATGTCCTCAGTTTTGGGGATTTTCCCCCACTACTATAAATAGCAGTAAGTACCCCATTGTGGGACTTTTTACGCCATCTAGCTTTCAGACTTCTCTATCTTCATACAAACTTGTTATCTTTGCAGAAACTTTTCCTCTTTCACTTCGTCTTCAACCTCATTCCAACCTCAACACTAACAATGGCATCTGGTTCCAATGCTCCTAGCGCTACCGTACCAACTGGAAACGCCAAACCTAAGGTTTTCGTCACTGCTCCAGTAGTAACTGCTACGGGCCAACGAAGGGTCCCTGAACCCTTGGACATCGCCGTTCGTGACGCTTACTCACACCACCTTATGATCCCGGTTGGATATTCCAACCAGATCTTTGCTATGTCTGGCCCCTTGTATCCAAGTATTTCTGAGGCCATGAAGATCAAGAGTTACTTTCCGGTAGTTGAGAAACTCAAACCGGTTGCATGCGCCAAGAAAGATGCTAAAGATAATGAAGAGCCAGCTAAAGAAAAAATCGACCTTCGTTTCTTCAACAAAGGTGTTAGGGCTTTCAGGTCTGGCCCTAGCCTGACTCCTGATTACGTTTCTTGGCTGGAAAAGATGGAGAAAAGCCAAGCTTCGATCTGGAAAAAGATGGGGATTTTCGACCTGGTGATGCTGTCGAAGACAGGTTTGAACTATTCTCCGGAGATGTTGATAGCTTCTCTGCTTTTCTGGGACTACTCCCACTTTACTTTCCATCTTCCCTGTGGGATGCTAACTCCCACACTCTTCGATGTGGCCGCTATTACTAGCCTTCGACCCACCGGGGACTACTTCGATCCGGAGGAGATGTCGGAGGATCAAATTGGCTTCTCTGACACCAAACCAACCTATACCACTTTCATCAACCACTACCATGACAGGTCGACAGATGCTGTGTCGGATGTCGAACACATAGCGTTTCTAGCCTTATGGCTGACTCGCTTTGTATTTTGCTCGAAGTCTTTACAGGTGACCAAGAAGATGGTCACTCTCGCCACTCAACTCCATCATGGCCAAAATGTCTGTTTGGCGGAATTGATTTTGGCTAGCCTCTATGATTCGATTAGTAATGGGGCCACTCTTCTAAAAATTATCGAGAACAGGGCCAGTTTGCTACTTGCTGGGCCTTTTTGGCTGCTCCAACTGTGGCTCAATGCCACCTTCGAATCTTTCTTGCCTAAGAAGGTTCAAATAAATGAGCAGGCTCCAGAGATAGCGAACAGACGCGTCGAAGGAACCAGGCTGGCTCTGTTGACGCCTATGGAAGATGGACTGGAGTTTCAGCAAACCTTCACCAACTTCGTTCTGATGTTTGCTCGAAGGAAGGAGTTTGCTTCGACTATGGCTCCGTTTGCTCGACGGAAGGTAGGCCCAGTATGGTTCACAAGGCCACATCCAAGGACGTCGAGTGGTCCTAATGTTGACGAACATACAATACTGTGGGAGGCGTTCCTGACACCAAGGATCATGCCTCTTCGATTCAGGAGTTCTAAGACTCACTTGAGTCTGATTGCATACCAACCAAACCTGGTATCTCGCCAGTTTGGTATTATTCAAACCCTACCTTCTCCAATTTTTCCAAGAGAGAAGGCTATGTTGTACTTCTGCAATGATTACACCGAAGAAGCTGCCATTAAGCATATCGGAAGATATGCTGGTCGAACAGTTCTCTCGTTGTTTGACTACCAGCTCAACTTCCTTTGCTCACCATCCTTCGAGGAGTGGTGGAAAAGTTATTATGCTGAGGAGTTTTTCGACGAGAAGGACTTTGTGGATGAGCTTCAAAAATCTTTTGTCCTTGTGTTGGACAAAATAAAGAAATGTAAGTTCATCCCTTCACATTACTTCGTCTTTCTCTTTCGACTGCTAGCCTGTTAACTATTCATTTGATTTCAGTTGTTCGAAAGCCTGTAGCCAAAAAGGCTACAGAAGGCCAACAGGGAGGAGGCCCCTCAACAAAACCTCGACCGCCGGCGAAGACTACAGCGCCGGCGAAGACTACCACCAACCAACAGGGGGAAGGCCCTTCGAAGAAACCTTCTGTATCGGTAACCAGACTTTCATTATTTTCTTCTAGCTTTCGATTTTTGACTCTCGATACAATTGCTAAGTCGAATTCCCATTGGTCTTTTAGGCACCTTCGCCCAAGAAACGGCCAGCACTGGTGGTCGAATCTGGGAGCGATGAAGAAGGTGATTCTCCTCCTGCTCCTCTAAAAAGGCGAAAGCTGACGAAGGACGCTGCTGTTCCTGCTCCTGCTCCTGAGGGTCGAACATTTAGAATAAAGGTTGCTGGGAGAAAGCCCAGGCCACCTCCAGTGATCATTGAGGAGCCAACGGAGGAGGAACTAAACGTTCTTCTCAACAAGCCTGTCGAAAGCGACAATTCCAGCCCTGGGGCTGAAGCTAACTTACAGGTAATCTCTTAGACCTTTCTATAACTTAGGTGTAGATACCTACATTCGATTATGTCTTTTTCGATTTCTGAAGATTCTTCCTCTTTCCTTTCTCAGGACACCACTGAAAGCTCACCACCAAGGACCTCTGAAACGCTGGAATCTGCTGAACTCAGTAGGCCACAAGAAAAAGGCTTGGGAAATGACGAAGCCCATA